CACCCCCCGCCGCCACCACCCTGAAGCCTGAACCAGCCCGAGGGGCTAAGCCCAGGCCAAAGCCCCGGCCTCAGGCCGGTGCTGCACCCTGGGAGCTGAGTCCAGGGCATTCTGTCTTGCATACAGAGGGGATCTGTGTTCTTCAGACCACCCAGAGGTCAAAAGCTCCAGCCCTCCGTTGGCAGAGCTTGTCCTCTCTAACTACGTGATTGATAAACTCGGCCCTATCTTCTCCATTACCCTGGAAGGTCTGGGGGTAGCCAGGACTCTAAGCCCTCTCTGGCCTGGTTCCCACCAGCTCCCAAGCCTCCCAGGTCCCCCCAGAAGCAGGAGGGTGCTGTGGAGGGAGGGCCGGGCCTCCCACGCTGGGTAAAATGCCCGTTGGCCCAGGGTGGGTCAAGCTCAGAGTCTGACTCTGGGAGGGGACACATCATGGTGTGAGACCCAAAAGCCGCTGGAAGGTTTAGGCAGAGGCTGGCCTTCAGCACACTTCCCGGGATCCCGAGATTGTTCTCTGCCTCCCTCAGAGACCATGGAGGAGGACCATGGCCCCTGTCCTCACTCAATTCTGCAGAGCTGCCATAGTGAGGAAAGGGGCACCGGGGCAGGTGCTTCCCAGGCCCCTCCCATCAGGAACCAGGACCCTGGAGTTGGGGGGCACGCAGAAGGCTTGGGTTCGGTCCCTTCCCAAGGCTTCCTGCTGACCTGCCCTTTGTCCTCAGAACAACAACTACGACTGCCCCCTTCCGGAGGAAGAGACCAACCCCAAGGGCAGCGGCTGGCTGTACCATTCAGATGCCATCCGCACCTACCTGAACCTCATGAGCAAGAGCAAGAAAGACGCCACCTTGGAGGCCTGCGCTGGTGCCCTGCAGAACCTGACCGCCAGCAAGGGGCTGGTGAGGAGTGGCCTCCTCCCCTGTGCCCACCCCCGTCCCCACCCCCATTTCTTCAACTTGAAGCCAGGCTCTGTTCCCTTCGCTGTTCTCCCACGAGTGTGTCCACAGTCTGAGTCCTAGCAAACACCTATGGCCTGAGGAGCTCGGTTCTACAGACATGACTAGAGGCAGTTTCCTATGCGATATGGGGGAGCAGTGAGGGGAGAGAACTAGCCCAGCCCTCTGGGAACTCCCAGGCGGCGGCTAGGCAAACCCACTCCTGCTGGATTCTGTCTGTGCCCACAGAGTCCCCTTTGCCTCGTGATTCTTGGCCCCATGCTGGCCCTGTCTGGGGTGGGGGACAGAGATGAAGGGTATGTTTGTGGCAGGAGGAGTCTCCTGCATGTTGAACTGACGGAGGGAAAAATAGAGGGTTTGGAGCGTGGACAGATCTAGAGGAAGATGTGGCAGAATCAGTAGAGATTTTGAGGCCAAATATAGTTTGGGGGACATGATGGAATGGCATTGAGCCATCGGAGGCCTGTTGCAATCAACGAGCATTTAGATGCGGAGGCAGCCAACAATCCCTCATCTTTACTTGGGACAAAAGAGAATCAGCTGGAAGCAGGACCAGGGTGAATTGAGGTAAGGAAGGAACTTTCTTGACCATGAGAGGATGAGGCTGGGGGTCTTCAAGAACTCCAGACCAGCCTGGGACCAGATTACAGCTCGGATGGCTTTGTTGCTAGAGCTGGCCTACTGTGTCTCCTTGTGGGCACGGACCCTCTCTTACCCATCTTTGTCCTGGGCAAGTACCCAACAAATATGTGTTGAGTACTCCGGAGGTAGAGAAGTTGGAAGGTGGTCAATGCCTCTTGCATCGACAAATATCGCTGACTGTGTGGTTTCATGTGAGCAGACTGCGGGGACGTGTAAGGAAGGCCGAGCTGAGACCAATAGCTGAGCAGCAGCATCTGACCATTTTGTTAGACCAGGAGTCGATTCAGGGCCCCCATGAGCGAGGGGTCTGAGACTTCCCTCTCATCACCCATCTGGGCTCCAGGCTGATCCGGGAGTAGAGATCAAGGTCAAGAGAGTTGGGGGTGTATTTTCGCCTGGGTGCTTGGTTCGTTGCTGGCGCATGAGCAAATTTGTGTCGCTCTTCGTCCGTGCTTCCAACATGAAAGAGAAACGGTATTTGGGATTCTTCGTTTGGGATTACCTGGCCCGCTTCCACCACGGTGCCTGGGAAGCCACAGTCTAGGTCCTCACTGGGCCTTCTTTCTCAGATGTCCAGCGGCATGAGCCAGTTGATCGGGCTCAAGGAAAAGGGCTTGCCACAAATTGCTCGCCTCCTGCAATCTGGCAACTCTGATGTGGTGCGGTCCGGAGCCTCCCTCCTGAGCAACATGTCCCGCCACCCAGTGCTGCACCGAGCCATGGGTAAGCGCCCTCCGCAGCGTCAGACCACCCCTCTGCCCCGGGCCTCCAGCTAGGACTTGGCAGACCCCCCACTTTCCAGAGCCTGCTGGAAGGTCCCCCTCTAAACTTTCCCTAGGGTGAGCATTCCAAGAGGGGAAGCTGGCCCAAGAGAAGCTTGGGGGTAGGAAGGGGCAGGTCCCCTGGAGGTGGGGGGCAGGTGTGCAGAGGTCCCATCTGGGTCCCAAGCCCTGGGTTGGAGCTAGAATGGAGCCTTGAGGGGTCACCTGTCTAGGAACCTGGTTGAGGGCAGTCCGGGACTATGGCCCCAGAGGGAGCCCCTCAGCCCCTCTCTCCCTCGGTCATCTGAGCCCGTGCCCTCCACTCCTTTCTCTCACAGGGAACCAAGTGTTCCCAGAGGTGACCAGGCTCCTCACCAGTCACACTGGGAATACCAGCAACTCGGAAGACATCCTGTCCTCGGCCTGCTACACTGTGAGGAACCTGATGGCCTCCCAGCCTCAGATGGCCAAGCAGTACTTCACCAGCAGCATGGTCAACAACGTCATCAACCTGTACCGCAGCAGGTGGGCGGGGAAGCGGGCGGTCTCCTCCCCACCTCACCCCCACACCGCCTCACCCCTGCCCCATGCTAAGCACAACTCCCTGCGAAGTCTCAGAGGTGCGGCGGGAGCAGTACCCGGTACAGAGAGGAGAGCCAGGGCAGGAGAGGCTTGGATGCAGAGAAGTTCCCGAAGCCAAGAGCACTGTAGGGATGAATCCAGCAGCCAGGCCCTCGGGCTACACAAACAGGGCAGAGGTGGTGCATTCTCCGCTGTGGGTCACCAGGGGACACTGGGTCCTTAGAGGGTCAGCAGGAGGCATGGAGCAGCAGACCCCACTGTGCGGGAACTTTATTCTGCTCCATGGGGCTTTCTCCTCCCAGAACAAGGGCTGGGCAACCTTCCCCCTCACAGCCCCCAAGGAGAATCCTAGGACACTTCTAAGTGGGCAGGGCCGTGGGGTCATACCCACTGAGCAGAGTGACCAGCCCGACGGGGCTCCTCTTTCATGCACCCCTGGGGCCTCCCCACATCTCTAAGACCTGAGGTGAGGGGAGGAGGGAGGAGGGTGCTCATTCTCATGTCTCCCCGAGTCTCACCCCACAAATGAACTTCCTGCCTGCCCAGTGCCTCACCCAAGGCTGCAGAAGCTGCCCGCCTCCTCCTGTCTGACATGTGGTCCAGCAAGGAACTGCAGGGCGTCCTCAGACAGGTAAGGGCCCGCACTGTTGACCCCTACCCATGAGGTTCTCCTGTACTTGCCCTGCACAGAATCAAGTCCGAGTGGGGCAAGGAAAGAGAAGCAGAATGGCCCACCCCACCCCATGGCGGGGACTGAGCCGCACTCCAGACAGAGAGAGTCAGAGCTGAGAGACCAATGTGCGTGACGATGAATGTGATCACACTCTGAGCAAATCTCTCGGCTAGAATTCTGGGGAGGTGCCAAGTGCATGGAGGGCAGAGGGAATCAAGGTAATGTGTGAGAGGCCTGGGGGGATCCTTTAGGAACAAACTGAAAAACGGGGTGGGCAAAAGGCACAGAATTCATTTGAGGGCATGATGTGCTCTGTGGCTTCAGAGGTAGGTTTGGGCTAGATTACAAACCCCTTTAATCTCTGTGAGAGTTTGCCCTTGGCCCCAGGGAGCCATTGAGGGCTTTAGGTAGAGAGTGTCATGATTAAAGCAATACTTGGATACAGGGGCAGGGCCCAGGGAACTGAGAGGTGCTGGGGCGGCTGCATCTGTCAAGTGGTGACCCTGGCTCCTCTCTGTCCTCAGCGCCTCCCAACCTCGTCAAACACAAAGTCCTAGCCCAGGTCTTAGTTTACCAAACCTCTCCACACTGGCCTCTCCCGCTCCTGCGGCCGCCGTTCTTTAGAGATGTTGGCAGTGATGAGGCTGGACCAAGGACAGGATGCGGAGGAGACAGACTGGTCAGACTGACCATGCTCGAGTGCAAGCCTGGAGACGCTGTGGCCACATTAGCAGAAATAGATCGGTTGGGAAGAGGCCAGGTGGGCCTTGTAGGGAGAGGGAGAGCAGTCCCGATTTCAGGAGGTCAAGTCTGAGGGGATTGGATTGGGGTGCGGGTGTGGGACCTGAGGAGAGAGGCCAGGCTGCCACACAGACGGGAACATTGGGCAGGTAGAAGCCCCGAGAGCAGGCAGGACCACCATGGGGCACAGGTGTGTGGGAGAGTCTTGGAGGATAAAGGCGGAAGCATGGAGAAGACCCTCAGCTGGGGGCCAAGGAGAGCAAAGGGCCAGGGAGCCAGAAGACGCTGTGCCAGCTAGCCAGGAGGGGGCTGCAGCCCGTGCGAGAGGACAAAGCACGGGAGCGGGTAGGCAGCGGTCCCCGGGGCTACTGAGGCAGCAGGGAGGATGGAAACCAGGGAGGCCCCTGGATGAGGCGATCCGGAAGTCCCAGACCACCTGCAAGAGCACTGCTGGCAAAGCAAGGGGAGCCCTTGGGGCCCCTGCCGTGGGCGAGGAGGGACGGGGAGGGGTGGAGAGCGGCAAGGGGAGAACCAGTGTGGTCCAGAAAGGAGGGAGACAAAGGCATCGGTAAAAAGACCCCTGTTTAATGACAGAGGGGACCCAAGCATCTCTGTCGTGAGACGAGAAATGGGCAGAGCAGGGGAAAGTGAAGGGGCGGGAGGATGAGGAAGACCACGGAACAGAGGGGGGCGCAGGGGGTCAGGAGTGACCTGATCGGGTAGGAGAGGAGACTTCCCGCAGCCGCCCAAGGGGAAGAAGGAGGAACAATTCTAACTCCAGCACAGCAGGGAGATAGGAGGGACCATGGCAGTCAAGGTCGACTGGGGAAGGCTGAAGGCCATGGCCAGTGGTGGCCCATGTCCTCTGGTGGACAGTCCAGTGCTCTTTCCCAGCAACACCACAGTGTGGGCAGGCTTGGCCACAGGGCAGCTGCAGGGGAGGCTCCGTGGAAGGGAGGTAGGTGAAGAGACTGGGTGACAACTTCCTCAAGCTGTTCCATGACAACTTCCTCAAGTGGTCCAGAAGGTTCAGCTCACCCGGGAATACTGACACCACACCCCCCCTAAGGCACCCAGAGAGTCCCCTTGTTAACATTGTTCTGTACAGCACCCGTGGGAACCAGCTTCGCCATCCGGTCCCCATTGCTCCCTCTAGTCCTGCTTGACGAGGGCCATGTTTCTGTCCCCAGAGCACCCGCACACGCACTGCCCACTGGGTCCTTACAACCACCGTGAGGCAGACCATGGGGCTTGTGTCCACCCTGAAGAACAGGACTTTGCCTTGATGCAGTGAGTCATGGCAAGAGCAGGGCTGGGACCCAGGAATTCTCACTCCTGGGCTCTTTCCACCAAATCCAGCCAAGCTCAACAGGAGCAAGCAAGCAAATCTGTGGTGGAAAAACCAACATCATGTGATTCATGCCCAGACCAAGCAGGCCTTGGGCTGTGAACCACCTGGTGTCTGGAGCCCTCATGTTCCCACAGGCCAGTGAGAGCTGACAGATTCTCAGAGCTCTTAGCCGGCACCAGGCGCCCCTTCTGAAGGGCCTCTAGGGCCCACCTGCTGTCCTCATTCACTCCAAAGCATTTATTGAGCACCTGCGGTATGCTGGGAGAAATAACAGAAACAAGATTCTGTCACTCCTCAGCAGGAGCTCAGGGGCTAGTGGGGCTGCAGGTGGGAGAGCAGACAGGTAAACAGAGCCTACAGCGTGGCAGCTCCTCAGTACCAGCACCAGGCGCCTCTCTGGTATGTGAGAAACGCTGGACGTGTCCTCGCTGCCAAGAGCTCTTGTCAAGATTTGGGGAAAAAAAAAAAACAGGGACAGTCAGAAGGAAGAAAAACAAACAGCTTTTCTAATCTGACTTTGGTTATTGTTCTGTTTAAAGAGTAATGACTACGAGCTTAAATCCTTATGCCTTAATTCAGATTTCTGCAGATCCACATAGGAAATTCAGAAGTGCTGGTGGAAGCCCAGACACGCTTTACTAACCTGGGCATATCCACGGCCTTATGTTTTGTTGCGCATTTAATCATGCCAGGTTTAGCCCTGACACACATATATAATGAATCCAGAGGGCTATGGCTCAAGCCCGAGGCCACTCTGGGAGGGCAGGGTCTGGTTCAAGCCCAAGGCCACTCTGGGAGGGCAGGGTCTGGTTCAAGCCCAAGGCCACTCTGGGAGGGCAGG